AAAAAAAAAAAAAAATGGGTCCCCCAGCACTCGACAAACACATTTAAAAACTATTCAGCGGTCAAGTGAACCAGTGCATCTCAAGATGTTGAATATTGGTAGCCGCTGAATGTGACATACCGTTTCACAGTCCGTCCCTCCCGTCCTCGGCTGCGGCTGCCGCCACCAAATTTACAACGGAGCCAACTTCAACACCCTGGCTGGAGAGCGTGCCTGCAGCATTCAGCAGTTTGCCGTTCAACAGAAGAGCATGGGGGCGCTGAGGACCAAACCAATGTGGAAGGCGTGCCAGCACCGTTTCTGGAGTATCGACGTTGAAGTCCAGCTCATCCACCAAGAGCTGCGCCTTCGCTGTCTTCACATGTACACAGTCCTTCGTTGTCCCACACCTCGCCTTACGTACAGCTGCCAGTTTGTCATTTTCACGCACGGAACCGGTAGTAGTACTAGCAGTAGTAGTGGTACCAGCCGAGGCGCACAAAAGCGTACAAAGTGCAATCAGAAACAGAGACGTTCTCCAGTTCATTTTCTTCCCAAAGCTTAACGATGAACAAATCATCATGAACTGACCTTCGATAAGTGTGCCAAAGTGATGTTTTATCACTAGAATTTAAAGGAGAGAGAGCCGCCAGTGTTCACATTCTCCAGCAAACAACATGGCACCGTCCATGTCAACAGAGGATCTGCTCCAAACACACACACACACACACACACACATACGCACCCATACACGCACCTATGTAAAATCGGCAGAGAGAAGCTGAAGGAAAAACAGTGTTAACGCACAGTCGGTGCCAATGGCAGACCACACAGCTCGATCAACATATGCGGCCCAGTTGCATCTGCTGACACTGACTGTGACGCTCTCCACGGTGCTTTCATCGGCCTTTTATGCAGCAGAGGAGCTTCCTCTAAAGACGTGCTCTTCGTCAGACTCCGCGTAACCGCAGCAAGCATGTTGTTCCAATCCATCGTCTGAACGTAAACACCTCGTCGTGTTAGATGGTTATCCACATGTTGGCGCACCTCAGCCAACTCCAAGTCACGGGCCCATGTGGGATGCTTTTTGGCGGCCAAGTCACCCCACGGGACGCCGCCATGTTGATGCTGTTTTTGCTCGCCATGTTTCTTGTCGCGTTTGCCCTCGTTTGTCCTGGTCATCGCGTCATTCGGTGACGTCGCCTTCGTCATTAGCTCAGACACGCTCGCCTTCATCGACAGTGCCGATACAACCTCAGACAAGTACTGTTTCGTACTGCGCACAGCACGCAGACGCACCCTGTAGTGTGCCATCATCAAAGCCGACCTTGGCACAGGTGTGGCAAACAACATCATTGGGGTTCCTTTCCTTTCCAAATGACGGGTTACCTCCTGTGTGACTTTTCGCCGTTCCACCGGTTTTGCCCCTGCGCTTGTTGCCTTTGATGATGAACTCAAATATGGGTGGGGCAATAGAAGAGGCAGCACAGCGTAGCGGGGGCGGTCGTGTTCTCCCTCCCTTACCACCACGGCGCCACTGTCAGTCGCTACACCATTCCGCTTGTGAGCCAATCTTCTCTGCAGGTGATCCTCCAAGAAACCCATCGCATTCTCCAATGTGCTTTCGATGCGCCACATTATGACCATGTGCGTGAGCTCATTCAGCAGGTGCTCAACGAGGGCCTTGACGTAGCGGTGCTCGGCGTTTGGAATTGCAGAATATTGGCTCATACCGCATGCCACCTCACTTGCCCAAAGAAACGTCTGCAGCTCACCAAAGAGAGACTCCACCACATCCGCTTTTGTCTTATTGTTGGGTAAACGAATTCCAATAATAGCGTTAAGGTCAATGTAGTCGTATATCTGCAGTAAACCCTCGTTGCTATCGAGTAACTGTTGAATGCAGGCCAGCCTGTACGTTACTCCGCCCTCAGCAGCTGGGAACAAGCGTACAAGTCGATCCGGTACAACAACCTTTACAATGTTATCCCCAATCATCTCACTACGCTCAAAGCGTTTGGTGCGAACAAAACTATTATCACTTGATGATGTGAACTTTGTCAGTGTCAAGCTGTCTCGTATGACCTCTCTATCCCGAAGGAACTCCAGCAGAAATCGAACGCGCCAGAGTCGCTGCTTTGAAGTTGGCGCACTAAGAGCAACGATGCGCTTGTAATCAAGAAGTGTGTCTCTCTCTACTTCGTTCAGTCGTTTCCACCACATGTCCAGGAGGGCCTTTGTCTTCTGCGACACGCTCGATTTCCGGCCGCACGCAAGACTTGTTCCATCCGTCGTTATCTCATTCTGCAACATGGCAGTGGCACGCTCGAGAATGCCGAGCCGCGCTATGTGGCCAACGTATCCGCAGTGACTAGAGAAAGAGGCCTCGAGGTACGCATCGCATAATGTGCAGCGCCGCTGCCCAGTATTGTAGAATAGTGTCTTCATTCGGTTCATCTCTGCCTTGGAACCACCTATCTCGTGCTCAGGGGGCGACGCCCCCCATAAAAAGAGGTCGGCCTGGCTACACGTCAGCGTCTGCCCTGCCTGCGGCGCTACTGATGCAGCGGTCGAGATAGCAGCAGCAGCAGCAGCAGGCGCCAGTAAGAAGAGGCAGCAACGCATCTCAGTTATGAAGGAAGAGATCTTTAGCCTCGCCCAACCTCCAGCAACGGCGGATGCCACACGTAACCTATCTCCCGTATTCTCCGAGAAGGCAGCATCCTTGTATTGAGTAATGCAAAAAGGGAATCAAAAGCAAGGTGGACAGCCACACCTCCAAAGACGTCATTGAAAAAAAAAAAACATACACTAAAGGGGGGAGGGAAAAAATTCGAGTGATATGGCCACTCACATAGGAATCGTAACTCTGGATGATTGCACCACCACACAGTTTGACGAATTAATAGTAGTAGAATTCCTGAAGGAAGGATGAGAACGAGTATCAGGGTGTAATCTGCATCAACTCGCATTTCCTTATCTACGAATAAAGAATTCGCGTTTAAACAAGAATGCACACGCGCACACACCGCCGAGAGACATCGACACAAAGGAAGTTTTCGCAATGCTCTATCAACACAAACACAATTGCACATGCTGACAAATACACAGAGACCCGTACAGGAGGTCACTCCCAGTGATACAGGAGGCGAAGCACAGAAAAATGATTCGAAAAAGTAATATGCGCCACCCCAACCCGTGCCCACACACAGTTTCGTTTTTCCATTGCGCAGACAGAGAGAGAGAGATAGAGAGAGATAAGCAGCAAAACAAATAAAGCCGGGGAAAAATAAACAACACATAAAAAAAAAAAACGAGACCACCAGCTTCAGCACAAAACGGCAAACTTAGGGCTTCACCTTCCATAACACTCCCCGTACAGTTGAGGGACATAGAACGTGCAAAAAAAAAATCTTTTACACGAACAGACGGAGGTGAGGGCGATGGGGGTGATAGAATGCTCCTCGTAGCGCTGCTGGTGCCTCGCAGGATCATCAGCACAAACATATAACAAAAAAAAAACATGGCGTTTCAGGCAATTAAGAGCACAGTCTTTTCCCCCTTGAATCACCGTGTCCACAGAAACAATCCGAAGACATTATTTCAGAGGGGGGTGGAACCGCAATAGCAAAAAGAATGGGAAACAGAAGTGAAGACAAGGGAGAGAATTCATTTACATCCGCTATAAGCTTGCGTCACGCATCACCCCAATCTCTCCTCTTATCCACCACAGTTGATGCCTCATCATTTGCTTTGCGCCCCAACCACGCTAGGTCGCACAGACACACCATGTATTTAATCAAAAAATCATCTCAAACCCCCAAAAAAAAGAACGATCTCGTAAAAGAGATTGATCAGTAAACAAAGCACCGGCTCATTTCATATATATATATATATATATATATATATATATATAT